ACCACTCTCTGCCTCTGACCCTCCTCGAACCTACCCGACGCCCTAATGAACGCCAGGATTTTGGTCCATGGAAGGTCTCTCACCTCAGCCCCTTGCAGCTCTTCAGCACCAAAGACTTTATGTCTTATTCTCCCAAAGGCTGCACACTGTCCCAGAAGGTGGACAGGGGTGTCCTCCCCTTCGCCACATTTCGGGCATAGAGGGTCCTTCTCAATTCCTATTAAGCTTAAATACCTCCTAAGTCTGCAGTGGCCTGTCAGAACCCCCACCATTTGGTTTAGGGCTCTTCGACTGAGGCTCAGCAACCATCTTGTCTTGGATTTGCTAGGTCCATGTATAAAGCTATGGGCCTGCCTGCATCCTCTATTTCTCCTCCAATCCAGACCTAAAGTTTGATAGGAGGAATAAATGGATAAGTAGGAATGGTACATGTCAGTGGCCACGTAGGTGTCCAGACCTCACCGTAATGGACTTCTTTGTTGCGAGCTATATAAAAAATCTTGTACACAATGTTCCACCTACAACTTGCGATGATATTGGAGAGGAAGATTAGAGATGCAGTTGCATAAGAATATCATTTGAAGATAGAATAAGATGCTGTATTCAAGAGAATGGTTAACAATTCGAACATCAATTAAAATTTTTCTTTGTTTCTTCTAAAAGTAAAACTTTTATCATTATCATGACAATATTTAAAAAAGTTTTCTAATAAAAATATTATTTTATAAGCAGAATAATTATAAAAAGTTATTAATTTTGTATAAATATGTTTGTAGTAAGTAACTGAATTATTATTTATGAACATGAAAAATATTTATTAAAGAAAATTTTACTTTTAGAAAAAACAGAAAAATTTTAATAGATGTTCGAATTGATAACTATTCTTTTGAATACATCTTATTTTATCTTCAAATGATATTCTCACATTCCTTAGAATATTTGGGATGATTGTGGCAAATGCATCTCTAATCCTTTCCTTCATATCATCGCAAGTAGTAGGTGGAACACTGTGTACAAGATTTTTTATATAGCCCGAAACAAAGAAGTCCATTACGGGAGGTTTGGACACATAGGTAGCCACTAACATGGACCATATTCCTACCTATTCATTTATTACTAAATTTTCGATTTATATAATTTCTCACTGAATATGAAAAATGTGCAGGTGCTCCATCTAATTGCATTCACATTTTTCTCCTTATATTTAAAGAGACGTCATCAAGAAGAACCCAAACTAATTCAATAAAGACACGTAGATACACCTTACAAAAAAATTTCATAAAAAACGAAACGGCACAATATCTCCAATACCGTTAGAGATAGGTATAGGGAACCTATACACAGTTTGAAAGAGTCTTAAATTTCCTAACTCCCAAAGTAAAAATATACTGGGTGTCCCATTTAAAATAACCAAGTTATTGCTGTTTAAAGTTGAGAGAAGTATTCAGCAGTTTTTTGAACACCCTGTATAATACTAAGTGATGAAAAATATAATAATTTATAACTTCAAGAATTTAAAATACACTCTCCAAAGCTGCTTCCTTAAAATTATTTTTTATTGCTAATATTAAATTTCTACTCTAAATTTTTCACTAAAATTGAAATATCTCACCAACAGTAAGTCCTAGGTATGCAGATTCTTTAATAAAGTTCACTTATTTTTTTATGGTGCTTTCAAAAATGCAGTAAAATACAGGGTGATCCACTTAAAAATACATAACTTTGATATGGTACGCTTTTCCTGGACACCCTGTATATTTCAAAATATTTTTAAAATGTAGCCGTAATCAACCTACACATAACCACCTAAACAGGTTTCTGTAACATTTGCTGTTTGGTCCCTAGCAACCGAGGCGTTACTGATGGCCCACCCTATAGTTTCCGTTTTTGCCTTATCGTTGGCACCTTCTATATCAAAGAATACGGACAGTGCGAACTATTTGTATTGAAGGGCCTTCTCTACCTATGTGTACGATACTATGTAAAGCAGTCTCCGTGGACCTGCCCAACTTATATGCATGCTAGTTCACATGGTTTGGGTGTCTACTCAATGCCCTATCTACGAGCCTCTCCTTTGTTTTAAATAGAAAGGATACGTATGTAGTTTTATTAAGTTTTTTCTCACCCATTCATTAATTGGTTTTGTTTGTTGCGCAGGAAATTAAAGAAATAAAAACGTGAAAATTGTTGGTGTTTTTACAAAAAACTCGACTACACTGGTACGAATTTCTCCAATTTTAAATAAAATTAAGACGTATATAAAACGCATCTTTATTTATAACCAAATTATATACAAAACGTAAGTATTTACATAAAATTCAAACATATGTCTCTTTACATCAACTAACTTTACTATCTAGAGGGGGCCAAAGCAAGCTAACTTCCCCGTGGGCAGATTCCGGAAGCCACTTCAAGTATTCCGCCAACAAGTCTGCAAGAAAAATATTATTAACAAACTACGNATATGTCTCTTTACATCAACTAACTTTACTATCTAGAGGGGGCCAAAGCAAGCTAACTTCCCCGTGGGCAGATTCCGGAAGCCACTTCAAGTATTCCGCCAACAAGTCTGCAAGAAAAATATTATTAACAAACTACGAATATTTTGCATTTAAAAAAATGGCTTACATTGGGGACTGTCACTCCAAATGTCCCCCAGAACCTTTTTAGAGCAGCAGTCTCGATTTAGGAGCGCTTTCAACAACGCCTCTGTTCGTGGCTGCAGCCTCGCCCAACTTTTCACCATGATGTTGGCTGGGCTGAGCAATGCCGTGACGTATTTTTCAAGCCTCGGGAACACCTTCCCTTCGAGAAGGTACCTTGCGAACCACTTGTACGCGTCCATAGAAGCAGGATAAACGATTTCCATATGCGGCAACGGCCAAGCTTGTGGCCCAAACGTACCCGACACCGTACAGTGGACTTTACCTGAAAGTTAACGGGAATATTACAACTTTGGTGGTTTTCTTTAAATGATACCCACCTGTTGCTGGGTTGTATCGGGGCTCGGGGCTTAACAAAGGTTCGGACAAGTTGCACAAGCTCGGGACGTAAGTGGCCAGCCATTCCGGTTCTATGGCTGTCACGCCCCTCATGTACATCTTGTTGGTTTCGTAAATCTCCTGATACACGACGAATTCAGGCAGCGACTTCTTTAGAACGGAGCCTTGATGGAGGAAGACGGGATCCTCCATATTGTTCGCCTGGTATGCGTACTTGAACTTGGCCTTGTCCTCGCCCTCTTTCACTTCCTCGGGGGGGATCTTCTTGGCGATTTGGTCCCCCATGCCCGCCAGCAGGATCTGCCTCAAGAGTTTCGCCTACAAAAGGGATAGAATATTGCAACTTACTTAAGGGGGGAAACCACATTAGGAGGTTCAAAAAAATCAGTTTTATTTTTTATGGCATAAATTGTTATTCAAGAATACACTGCCAAAATTTCAAAACGAAATTCCTAATTGTTCCGATTTTATGAAAATAAAACCAAACGAACATTGGGTCAGCGTTCGGGCACACACCAGGTAGGCTAGAGAGCTCTATATTATTGATAATTTTCTCAAATTTCTAGTTTTCGGAAATCTTCAAATGTGTTTTTCTTGAAACAATATTTTTTTGATTCATGGGAACTCTAGCTCGAAAAGTTATGAACCTATCGTTATGAAAATTACAAAGAAGATGAACCAACAAATGGGATGATATCATAATTTTAAAAGTGTTTTTTATTTAAAATAACTAAAAAAAATGGTGAAAATCTATAAATTTTTTTCAAACTCGTGTCAATCTTCAATTTTCATAAGTTTTACCCGCAATGAGATTCATGTTCTTAGAAAACATATTTATAATGCAGGAAAACAACCATTTTGCCTTCAAATCAAAATTGTGACCTCCACACAACCAACTCGGACGACAATC